ATCTTCTTAAAGACTTTAAACTATAGCATCTAAAAAATATTCCTTTTTTCAGTAGAAAAAAGGGGGAGGGGAATAGGATATGGCACAGAATTGAAAATATTGCCCAATTGCACATTTGTAGCCTAACTAGATTATTACAATTTTTATAGATACACATCATTTGGAACTTATGAGAACTTCTTACCATTGAAATGTCCCAGCATGAAACCCACCCATGATCATCCATTCTCACAATCACCCTCTAGGACAGAATAGAACTGCCCAACATTGTTTCCAAGGCTGAACATTTTTTTTTTTTAAGCTGACAGCCCCATCTTTCTTCCTTGGAGTAGCTGATGACATTGAATGATCAAATTGCATGATATTTGGATGACGTCCCAAACTATTCATAAAAAAACAATAACATTAAATTAAATAATTCTCAAACCAATAAGTCGATCACTGTTTTCCTGGCAAATTTATTATTTAATTTAAAAGAGACTCTTTGAGACCTGAGAGCTTAACAGAAATCTGTCATCCCACGAGGAAAAGGAGAGAAGAGATTCAGAACAATGACGATGAAGCCCCAAAGAGATGCTCACCATGAATATACTTCACTACATTGACACTAAGACCATGACGGGATATGGTCATAAGGACTTCTCCGGCACTCTTCCGCCAAGGCAGGTTGTAGGGAGGGCACCAAGAGGTTATTGCACTGAATAAAAGCTGGAGATCATCTTTCTGAGCCAGCTCCTCCGCCGGAGAAACGAAACTGCACAGTTTCACTAAGATCTAGAACACACAAAAACCAAAACATAGATCAGTACATGAATAATTGGGGAAAGGAGGTCGGTATGAATGGACTGCTATTTTCAGTGGTCATCCAGTCAATTCTGACTCTTGGTAACCTCGTGTGGGCAGAGGAAAACTGCTCCACAGGGATTTTCCCCCTGGGGGTGGGTGACCTTTTAGGAGCAGATCACCAGGGTGTCTTCTGAGGAGTCTCTGGGTGGGCTCAAACCGCTAACCTTTTGGCTAGCTCAGCACCATTTGCACCAAACAGAGACTCCTTCGGCAAAGGATTACATCTGAATATTATTGAAACATTCAAAGGTAGAAAAGACATCTGTATTCAGAAGTACATTACAAAGACAAAATGATACCTTATTTTAAGAACAAATAATCTAAGTCTACCGCCCAGTATTCACCAAGGTGTTTTTTGCATGCCTGGCCTGGAATGAGACCAACAGTTAAGGTCAACATTTTAGGTCTCAGTTTTTTAAGATCACGTGCCATCAGGTCAATTCTGACTCATAGCCACTCTATGGGACTGAGAACTACCCCTTTGGGTTTCTGAGACTTTAGATCTTTGCAGAAGTGGATGGCCTCCTCTTCCTCCTGTGGAGCAGCTGGTGGATTCGACCTTGTGGTTACAGCTCCACATATATGCCACTACCCACCAGAGCTCCCAGTTCCCCACTGTGGAAGGTAATATCTTCTCTAAGGAAGGAATATGAAGAGGGGTAAAACCAAAAATAAATCTTTTAAAGATCTTTTCAGATTCGTTGAATTTTCCAATCAAATAGAAAGAAAATCATAATATGAAACATCAATTTTAAAAGATCCTTTTGTCCATTGCCAAAAATCTCACAAGGATGGCATGAGCAATTCTCCCCTGTGGCTGCTACTTGGTGAATTTACTTGCTGGTTTCTGTGCTCAATGATTCTTCCTTCTCATCCCAACTTTGAGTTGGGAAAAGTTAACGCTCCTGGTCTGTGCTATATTTTTTCACCTACATTATTTTTAAAACACATATATAATAATGATAATTTATGAGATAAATGTACTACCCTTACCAAAAAGGGGGGGGGGGCTTTGTGAATATGGAGAATTTCAACATCGGTTGGAGAAACTGCTAAGTAAATATCAGTGTACTTGAAATACAGGCGTTGGTTAAAAAAGTATTAATACAGAATTATGGAAACTTCTATTAAATAAACAGAAACATCACGTGGTGAAGCTGTTGTTTCTCAAGGTATCTTTCATCTACATCTACAAATCCGAAGGCGTGCTTCCATCGCTGTAAGCCTTCCCTGGAATACTGTGTGCTTCCTTTGACACCACACAAAACAGCACCGTTGACATCCTCAGGGGACTCCAGTCGTGCTCCCATGGGTCCGTTTTCTTTGAGTTTAGGAACAAAACAAAAAGTCTGAAGTCAGGGCAAAACGGAGCCCGTGGGTTGGACCGGGCAAGGCTTCCAATGAGACCTGTATAGGGCAGCGCTTACTGTTCTAGAAGAAGCATGTGAGTGCCATGACTGAAAATCCGAAACATCCTCGGGTAACCTTTGCAGGCCTTCAAGTGACAGCGCAGCTTTCTGTTCTCTTAAATCATGCCCGTCGTCAGCCCATAAGGAACCTGCGTCTCTCGAAAAAATGTGTCAAGATTGCCCCTTTGGGACCTCAAAAAGCCTCTACAAACTGAACTCACTTCTCCGCCTTGAGCTGAACTGACCGATGGACCCCCTGCCCTCAGAAGTCACCATTTGGACTGCACCTTTCAGTGAGAGTTCATGGGTCAACCCGAGACTTGTCCCCAGTGATGATTTGCCCAATACAACTCCCGTCAGGAGCCGTGAGTTTGCTTTAAAACGTGAAGAGTGAGCTGAGTTTTTGTGCAACACTTTTGGGGACCCAATTGAACGGAAGGCCTATAATTGTAAACGTCGAACCAGATGAGATCTTAATTTCAGTAGCTATTGTATCAACATTGATAGATGGTCTTTCCCCAGTTTCTGAATTTTAGTCACAATTTCTTCATTTGTCATTGCGATTATCTTCCTTCCTTGGCTCATCTTTGCAACCTTCAATAAAACGCAGGGGCCATTTAAAAACTTCGTGTGACTGCATACCTGAAAACTTGTTGCAAAGCGTCTATGATTAGTGAAGATGTCCAATTGCGTTTTCTTAAAAACCTGCTATTACCCATGAGCTCAAAATCATTTCCTCACAGCCAAGGTACAGTATGCCCTTTTAAAAAAGGAAACCCTGATGTGGTAAGGCCAGTGCATTACTGGGAAAACTTGTCTGCAGCCATGCCCCAATCACACTGACATGTTCAAACACCTTTTATTAGGTATTGGCTCATGCATGTCTGAAATAGAGCCCTGTAGCAATACTTTTTGACTTACCCTCACATACATGCCATCTCTCAGAAAACTAATTCTTTCTTTTCCTATTCCCCAAAGTATATGAACTTGGTTACACATAAGATCTTTCTAATTTGTAACTGCCAGGTATCAGGAAAGGGTAGGGGGAAAAGGGTTAAGAATTCAGAGACACCAACCAGAAAACACTCCTAAAGGTCAAAAAACAGACCCGGAACTATTTATAGGCTTTTCTTTTTTTATGGTTTTTTTCCCCTTTGTCTAGTTTTTGTGATTATTGCCTCTGTATGTCTATCTAGATAAGATAGGCAGGGTAAACAATCCTGAGGATAAACAACTGGACTCATAGTTGGTGGGGCGGGTGGCACTGCAGGGGGGGAGGCTAGGCAAAAGAAGTGTGTCAACAATCCCAGGGACAAGAAAACAACAAGCGATCTAAAATTGGTGGCAAGGAGGGTGTAGGATGCAAGAATACTTTGTTCTAATAACCCAGCATTCTGTGATACCTTCCTGACATGATCACTGGAAACAAAATGGGTGCATAAGCTAATATGATGCAGAAAGCTGATGGTGCCCGGCTAACAAAAGATATAGTGTCTGGGCTCCTAAAGACTTGAACATAAACAAGCAGTCTTCTAGCAGGGAAGCAACAAAGCCCACAGGGAAGAAGCACACCAACCTGTGTGATCATGAAGGGTTGATGAGATCAGGTATCATGCATCAGAAGACCCCAAACAAACAAATATATTAATGCAAATTATGGGTGTCAGAGTGATGACCTAAAGCCCATCTATAGACAATTGTTCATTCCCTCACAGAAGGGTCACAAGGAAGGAATGATTCAGCCAGGGTGCAGCATAGCACGCACGAAACATACAACGTTTCTTTAATGCTTCTTCCCCCCAGTATCATGACCCCAATTCTACCTTACAAATCCAGTTAGATAGCAAAGCATATACACTAGTACAGATAAGAGCTCGCAACACAGAATATTGAATAAACCCCTCAGGACCAATAATGAAAGTAGCGACATCAGGAGGGTAGGGGAAAGGTGGGGGGAGAAAGGGGGAACCAATCATAATGATCAACATATAATACTTCCCAGAAAAGTGGGTGAAGAGAGACAGTGGACAATGTAAGATATGAAAATAATAATAAATTATAATTTATCAAGGGTTCATGAGGGAGGGAGGGAGGGTAGAAAAAAAGGAGCTGATACCAAGGGCTCAAGTAGAAAGAAACTATTTTGAAAATGATGATGACAACATGTGTACAAATGTGCTTGGGACAATGGATGTATGTATGGATTGTGATAAGACCTATTAGAACCCCCAAGAAAATAATTTTAAAAAAGGAATTCAGAGACACAACACTATAATATCAGGAAATTTAAAAATGCATATAGAGATTCAGTGGCTTAAGAACATAACAGGGGGGAGCAGGGTTCTAACCCACCCAGGGGGAGAGTATTGGTTATGTCTCCACAGAATGGGGAATGTGATGCAGACCCCACCATGGTGCACAAAACCTTGAGGACAATGCAACCACATGGAGCTACTCATGAACAGAGTGGGCTACAGGGCTGGCCCCAATCAGAGCCAAACTGACCCCCTCCTCAGAAGTATGTGCTACAGAGGACAACACTAAACCTACAGGGTAGGGAGAGGGGCCAGCCCGCCACACCCACACAGAAGCAAACCAAGAAGGAAGAGAGAGGGAGGGACTAGACCCCACAGCGGCACACCAAGCCCTGAGGACAACGTCCCTGCACGGAGCTGCTAAGGCACAGAGAGGACTGTAGGGCCGACAACAGCTCGAGCTATGATGACTGCTCGCTGGAGCAAACCTCAACAGAGGACCACACTGGGGACACATGGCAGGGAGTGAGTCCAGTCCGAATCCCCCACAGCGGGGTGAACCAAGAAGGTAACATAACAGACCAGCCAAGGGAGCAGAGCAAAGCCACAAAGCCCCTGGGGAGCCCCCAATTAATAGACTTCAGGCTAGGAGGGGCAGTTCCCAGAACCCCCAGGCCCAGTAGGGAGATAGTCATAAAGGTCAGCAGACAGACCTGGTATTATCTATGCCATTTCGGGGTGTTTTTTTGCTAGTTATTATTATTATTATTATTATTATATGTATTTTTTCTATTTCTTCCCCCCGCCTTTTTATTCAATTTTTTTTCCTTTTTGTATTGTCTCCATTGTTGTTGGTTTGCCTACCGATATAAGATAGGCATGGGAAGCAAGCCTAAGGAGAAAGCAAGGGGACCGAAGGTTCCAGAGGGGCTTAGAGGGAGGAGGAGGTGGGTGAGGGGGCAGTGAGCCAACGACTTCATAGACAAGGGAACAATTAAGGAATTAAAATCAACAACGAGGAGGACAAGGACACAGAGATCCTGGGGGTGCTGGAGCAACATAAGTCTAGTGGAGAGGAATTACTAAGAGGCAGAAAAAGGGCAAGTGGGAAGGTAGGAAAGGAGGAAGGTAATAGGAAACAGAGGAAAGATCTAGGAAGCAAAGCTATGGATAGAGGTATAAACATAGGTGTGGAATTATGTAAAATATTAATTCATAAAAATAGAGGTATTGGCATAGGCACATATATTTATATGGCAATACATTGAGGAAGTGGATGGACTTTGGGCCTCTGCTCAAGCCCTCCCTCAATGCAAGAACACGTTCTAACAAACTGGCAGTTCTGTGATGCTCACCCTCCCCGCACCATCTCTGAAGACAAAATGGGTGCACAAGCAATTTGTGGTGAAGAAAGCTGATGGTGCCCAGCTATCAAAAGATAGAACATCTGGGATCTTAAAGGCTTGAAGTTAAACAGGCAGCCATCTCACAGAGAAGCAAGAAGACCACACGGAAGAAGCACACCAGCTTGTGTGATCCTGAGGTGCCAATGGGATCCAGTAACAGGCATCAGAAGACCCAAAACAAAAAATAAACAAAACATATTGTTGAGAATGAAGGGGACTGGAGCAGAGACCCAAAATCCATCTGTAGATAATAGGACATCTCCTCACAGAAGGGTCACAAGGAAGGGATGAGTCAACCAGGGTAAAGTATGACACCAATGAAACTCACAATATTCCTCTGGTTCCTTGAGGCTTCCTGGCCTCCCAACATCATGACCCCAGCCCTGCCTTTCGCTTCGAGCTAGACCGGAGCATGGGCACAGATAAGAGATAAGTGCTCATGACACACAGAATCCAGGTCAGATAAGCCCCTCAGGAACAGAAAATGGGAGTAGTGATACCAGGAGGGTAGGGGGAAGGTTGGGAAACATGGGAGGAAGAAACCTTGGGGGAAGGAAGACAGTGGTTGGTGTAAGATATGAAAATAATAATAATTTATCAAGGGGTCACAAGGGAGGGAGGAAGGTAGGGAGGGTAGAAAGAGCTGATACCAAGGACTTAAATGGAATGTAAATGCTTAGAAAATAATGATGGCAATGTATGTACAAATATGCTCAATATAATTGATGTATGGATTGTTATAAGAGCTGTAAGAGCTCCCAATAAAATGACCTTAAAAAAATAAAAGCTTGGAAAACCTATTGAATACCCATTGCTTTGTGACATGTGTCTCTGCTGCAAATGTACACACAAGTGGTACAGGATGGCATATGCTCTGAACACTGCATGGTCCGTTATACTTTTGTCAGTTCTGACCTTACTCCTATCTATGTGGGTGGAGAGTTGAAAATTTAATAAAATAAAATGCTTTTCTCGAAATCAAATGCATACTCCTAATGAGCTAGATTCAAGGATTCCTCAAATTTGCTGGCACTTACGTAACTGGTACTGCAATCTTTCGAGGCAAAGGCATGCTGGCACATGAACCAATTGAACCTTTTCTTTTTATAGGAGGGGACACTGAAAGTGTACCCCCTGTCCCTCCTCTGCCCCTGGATGAGCCACTGGTATCTGTGAGGACTCTGTGGCAGTCAAGCCAAGGTGGCAGTGCAGTAAGTGGTCAAATCAACTGAAGGGACAAAGTCGAATGCCTGTAAGTATGACCACCTGCGAAGGTCTCAGAAAGCCATCTGTCACCTGACACAGACAGAGGGTTTTCATCCATCACAAGCTCAGTGCTCTGAAAATATGTAATATGTTTGTCTAAACTGGTTCCTTGACAAAGTGGTAAAAAGTAATGGCTAGCAGGTGCTGGGGAATTAAATCAAGGAGGGGAGGCACTAAAGGGGGCTCTGGGTTAGGTAGGAGTCAGGACACTTGGGTTTTAATCATGGCCACTCACCTATGGTAGATCACACACCTGGACACCACGTTCCACAACAAAAAAGTGAAGAATTACATTGAAATGACCCTTTTGGCTTTAGTATTCCACAATTTAAATATGCTAATATTAACATGCCACATTATTTGAAAGTTAGCACTCACTGTTTCCAAATTCAGGGGATGGGAGAATGAATTTTTTAAAAAAATTTCCTATGCTAATTTAGGCATTAAAAACGGAAATAGAAGGCACCAGTATCATGAGGCGAACATGCCATCATTTGTATCCAGTTCTACCTCAAGGTACTGCGGAGGGCCATCCATTCGATTCTCTCTCCCTCCTCCTGTGATGGAAGGGTAGTGGTGATGCTGTTGTACAGGCAGCAGAAAAGCTACTTTTATTTAAGGTCTGCTATGTACAAGAAGTCCTTGTGTAGGTTGGGTGTTTAGTTACTAACTGCAAGGTTGGTGGTTCAAACTCACTAGTTGTTCCTTGAGAGAAAGATGAGGCTGTCTGCTCCTATAAAGATTTAGTCTCAGAAGCCCAAGAGAGGGTTACTATTAGTCTGAATCAGCATGAGAGCAGAGGGCTTAGACTTTGTATTAAGCAGAGCCAAAACTTCACATATTTTATTTAATCTTCATAAGAACCCTTTAAGTAAATATCATTTTCTCTATTTTATAGAAATCAGCATCGTAGGTTAAAAAACTTCACACACTCAGATCTAGTCAAACAAGTGCGCCCCCACACCCACTCCCACCCAAGAGGATGGAATATATATTAAAAAAATTATTATGAATTAGTTGAAGATTTACAGAGCAGATCACCAGGCTCATATTGAACCACTCATATACATCTTGTTATGTGGCATTCACTGCAATCTCCCCGAGGTACCATCACTTACCCTGCTTCCGCCCTGTGCTTCTGTCTCCTTTCCTCCTTCTCTCCCAACTCTCGGAACGTCGTCTTTAAGGAAACGCTGCCCTTCTGATCTTAAGTGGTTGATTATTCTAACACCAGGGTGAGCTCAGTTCCAGACTGGAAGGACTGCCTAGTAGCCACAGTCTTGGGGGTCCCACTTGTCAATGTGGGCCCAGTAAGCCTCAGACAAGTGGTTTTCATGTTCAACTAGGCCCCAGAGTTGGGCTTGGACTGTAAGTGCTATAGATGGCTTGTCTTGAAAATGTTTTCTTTTCCTTAGAGAGGCTATGATCACGGTGCTATAGTTCCCAAGTAGCTAACAAAGGTCTGTTCAGTGAGAGAAGAATGGAGGACTGAGGGGAAGGGGCTCTATAGGCATAGGAGAGGGGAGGTGACAGCAGCTACAAAAAGACACTAGTTTATGAGTTCAAAGTTAACAGGTTACACAGCATCTGTAAATAATAACTTTGAAATTTCCCTGACATAAAACATCTAATGTAAATGAGGCTGATTATCAATGAGTAAGTCTCCCTTCCTTGATTGTTTTAGAGATGTTGTTGACATAGCACAGGAAAGCTTATTAAGTAAATCTGTTCCGAGAAGCACGCTTGCTAATGCCTCACTCAGATTTGTCTGAGCATCAAGGGGCCGATTCACAGAACGGTGACAGTTACCTGGGACAGTCACGCTGACAAAGTGAAATCCTGCAGAAAACGCAACAGAGCAGCTGTTCTCAACCTGCGGGTTGCGAGTCCTTTGGGACGAATGACCTTTCACAGGGGTCGTCTGATTCATAACAGTAGCAAAATGACAGTGATAAAGTAGCAATGAAAATAATGTTATGCTTGGGGGTCACCCCCACATGAAGAACTGTATGAAATGGTTGCGGCACTGGAAAGGTTGAGAATCACTGCAGTAGACAGACCCTCTATTCCAGAGAGTAACCATTTCCCTCGACAGAGAGCGGTGGGCCAGGCCAGAGGCACCCTCCTCACCTGTACAAAAACTTTCTGGAGCAGTCCTCGTCGCTCTGCTAGAGGTAGCTCATTCTGTGCACCTCCAACTGCCTCAGGCACATGTGGAAGGTCAAAAAACAGATACAAACATTTAACCAGGGTGGAAGGCACTGACATCGTTGTCATGCAGTCCACGGTTTTCTGGAAAAGAAACCGATAAATCAGTGAATTGATGGAAAGGCCGAACTGGAGTTATGCAACTGAATGGGGCAGCTGAGAAACTCAGAGTGCAAGCCAACAAATATTATCAAAATGACTTTTTATTTAATTACATTTTTATCAAAATGACTTTTTACAAAACTGCAAGGAAAAAAAAATACCCAGGGCTCAGAAATATGCTAGTTCCCATTTGGAAGACCTTATTTTTTTCCCCATTAGAAAAAAAATTATTTTATTGGGGGCTCTTACAGCTCTTAAATCACAATTCACACATCCATCTATTGTGTCAAGCACGTTTGTACATATGTTACCATCATCATTTTCAAAGCCTTTTCTTTCTACTTGAGCTCTTGATATTAGCTCATTCCCGCCCTCCCCTCCCCCCACCCCCTCCCTTATTTTAACATGTTCTTGAAATTCTGTTTGTTTATTGTTTAACTACTTGTTTACCAAGAGATAGAGATGACTCTTTATGCCAGCTTCAGGATTTCAAGAAAGCAAAACAAAAACTATGTACTACCATGAACTTGATCAAATGGACTAGTTTTGCTGTTACTGCTGAACAGCGGTTTCTCTCCTATAAAATGAATATAATGGCACATACTTGGGTTACTATGAAGGAGATATAAAATACTATGTGCAAAAACACAGTCAGCACTAAATAAACTGTATATTAGTAATTTCTTTACTTTCTACCATTTAATCTTTATTATTGTTGTAAATTCTTGGAACTAGAAGGACACTCGAGAGATGTAGCCATCACTGGCATCAATAAATGTCATTATGGATTGTGATAAGAGTTGTACGAACCCCCAATAAAATGATTTTAAATCAATCAATCAATAAATGTCATCTTCAAAGATTTTTAGAGGAAGAAGTTTCAGATCACCTTACAGTGAGCCTCTAACTACTTTTGTGATGTACATTTATAAAAACTTCCCATGATGCAGTTTGGAGTTAAAACTCCTTACAGCACTAGCGATCAATGGGTTGATTAGTTTATTTTCATCTTTATCTAATAGTTAAGTAGCATCGAGGCTATGTCAGGCAATGTGCTAAGAGCTGAGCGTGCCAGGTTGAAGCCTCCCTGCTTTTCAGAAGATCACGCTCTTGGGAGAAGCAGATTCACCAATCAGTACACGTGAAAGTCGTAATTGCCATCCGAGTGAACAAGGCACACACTGCCAGGGGTGCAGGAAGTTAAGAGCATAGGTTGATAGGCCACAGGATACAGGATGCCTAAGAAATCAGAGTCCAAAACTTCTGGCTCCTTAAAATGGCTCATCTTTTATGAGTGCTTGTCATACAAGAAGAATCAGGCTGCGAACACAGTATCTCCTCACGTCCTCGTCTGCCCTGTGGGGTGGGTACTAGGACTGTAAGGCTCTTACTCTGCAAATGTAACAACTGAGGAGGAACATTCACATGCTCAGCTGAGGTCAGCTAGCTGATGAAGTAGTAGAGCCGGGATTTAAATACCGTATATACTCATGTATAAGCTGTTTTTCAGCACATTTTAATGCAGTTTTTGTGGTAAAACTAGGTGCCTCAGCTGATAATTGAGTCAGCTTATACTCGAGTATATATGGTTAAAGTTGATGACCAAGTAGAGACCCATGTGTGTGTGTCAGAGTAGAACCAGAGCTTTGCAGTGACTGATTTTACAGGAGTGGAACATCAAGGCCTTTCTTCCAACTCACCACTCAGTAGACCCAACCGTCCAATCTTTTGGTTATGTAGTGAGTATTTTTAACTTCTGGAGCACCCAGAAAATCCTCCAGGTCAAACCAAATTCACTGCCATTGAGCTGATACCCACTCATGGTGAGTCTACAGGACAGCATAGAGCTTCCTGTTTCTGAAGATCTTTAGAGGAGTAGAAAGCCCTCTCTTTCTCTTGGAAAGCAGCTGGTGGTTTCAAACGGCTGCCCTTATGGTTAGCAGCCCAACGTGTAACCACCATGCCACCAGGGCTCCTCAGAAAATTGTAGCACTAGATGTAATCCTGTATTGTGTTTTGTGGTTGTGTCTGTTTACTCTCTGTTGTCTACATGCTGAATCAGGGCCATATTTTTGCAATCTCTGCTGCCCCAGCATAAAATGACATTCAAATAAACACAAACAAACGGTCTAAAACCAACACAGAATTTTCTTTTTGACTTTTCCCAGTTAGATTATGAGTAGTTTTCCCTCTCTGTTAAGCACAACCCATTGTCATCTCTATATTGATTGATCTGAAGTATCACTCTGTCTCTAATTCGGCATTTGGCAACATTCTAGTAGTGTGTGTGT